AATAGCAAAACATACAAACAAACAAAAACTCCTATAGTCTATATCAACATTCATGGGCAGTAGATTACATGTATAAACTGCTATATATATTCATACAGTAGAATATTATATCACATGCAAAACTAGTGAAATGAATATGATACTTATCAGGGGTTGAATCACCAAACCTTATTTTAAAGAAACAAATCACCTGATTCAACTTGTAAAAGCTCAGAATAGGCAAAAGTATATACATATACACAAATATTTGGAATAAATATTTGTGTATACAATCATATACGGATTCACACCTGGGTATGCATATACATATATGCACATATACATGTACACATAAACATTATAAATATACACACACATATATGCATCTATGTGGTAAAATGATAGAAGGAAACAAGGGCACCACTAGCAAGAAGACAGAAGAGTAATTACTTCTGAGGAGGTGAGAAGAGAACATGGTCAGAAAGGCAGAGAGCAGGAAGCTCCCAGGTGATGAAGAAGTTTTCCTTCTTGGTAGGTGAATGGGTCACAGGAGTTCCTTTCGATTATCATTTAAACCGAGCAGAGGAATTTTAAACATTGTTGTGAGTATTATTTATTTTAATAAACATATGTATCAGAGAAAACTAAGTTGACAAGGGCTGTTCCTGATGCCTCTTGTGTTCCACTGACTGCAGTCGCCCCTGAGTCCAATCATGGGCTCATCCGTGCACACTCGACACAATCTCATCTCCAGACACCCAGTGCCGCCATGCTTGTCTCCTATGTTACTGCCTCGACAAAAAAAAAAAAAAAAAAGCTAGCACAGAATTTTACAGTCGTGATTGCCAACAGGTATAGGAGGCAGGGCAGGAGAGTGACACCGGCCTCCGAGTTCCAACGGGAACCAAGCAGCTTTTTGGCACTTTCTTTCAAAGGAGTCGATTCATGCTTTAGAGTCAGGGAACAGACTTAGTTGGAAGATGACCTTCCCTCAGTTTGCTGGCACAGGCAGAGGCTGCAAGGACAGCATTCTTGTCGTAAAACAAGCAGGCCAAGATGACCCAGCAGAGCACAGGAGCTGGGAGCTGGGGGAGCCGCCTGGGCACAGGAGGTGGCTCCAGAAGCAATTTGAATGATGAAGTGATAGGCACTAAGTGCAGAGGAAACTCAGAGGATGGGGCAATCAATCACTGCCGAGCTTATCTCCTGACAAGGAGCGGGGCTCAGCTTCCAGATGTAACATTAAAATGTAATGTTCCCACTGGGACCCCGCGTGGCAGGTTTCCCTGACGCTCCGGTTTCACTCAGTTCACTAATTATGAGAAAATGTGACATCGGTATTTACTTTTTCTACAGGGATAAATCTTTCCCAGTAAAAGGGAGAAGTTGTTATTTTTTGTTCTGTTTTGTTTTGTCATTAAAAAGAAATTACTTACACAGCAGTAAATAAACTCTTGTTAGAGGGAAGGAAGAATTTTTTTTTTCCCTAGATGATTCTATCAAGCCACTTTAATGCTGACAATCATTTCTTTCATTTCCCAGGGAAAGGGCGGATAAAAGAGTCAGAGTTTGGGTGTTACAACTAGGTTTAAAAATTAATTCTACCACTTACCAGCTAGGTGACCTTAAGCAAGTGATTTAAGCAGTCTGCGCCTGTTTTCCTAGCTGTAAAAACTAGAGATGATGCATCTATTTTAGAGTTTTTTTGGTCCAGGAGGAAATAACACAGTTGAAGCATTTTGGCACAGTGCTTTCAAATGAGTGCTCAATAAATTTGAGTCTTTATTCTCAATGATCTTGATATTCTATTATGTAAACACACATAGTTTGTATGTCATTTATGCCTGATATTGCCAATGCTATATGACCGTGCATCCAATCATGAAATGAATCTTTATTTTGGCTCTACAAGTCAAATTATGTATAATGTTTTACTTTCCCTCACTCTAAGGTAAAAAGTGTAACCAGTGAAGAGTTAAAACTGATGATAAACTTTAAGGGAAAGTTCTCCCCTAACTACTCCCTGCTTCTTTTAACTTTCCAAATGCCATATGCAATGATAAACAAGCATGTCAGTAAAACCATGATTCCTCTCACTGCCTGGATACTAACAAGTAACACCATCATGGATGATGTGCTTGTAACAAATTAGAAGGAGATTTATCAGATGATTCCCCACTTGAACTTACAATAATGGACGAGATACACAGACTAGATGGAATTAGCCCCATTTTACAGAATGTTTTCCTTTAAACAAACCTAAGAACAAGAGATGGTGGATGGCAAAGCCACTGTATTCCAGCTCTCTATAAAGGGTATCTGAACAAATGACAAATGCCAGGGTTATTGGGCTTTTCAAAACTGGATTTTCCCAAGAATGAATTTTCTTTCAGTGATAGTCAAAGGGATCAGTTGTTTCAGAGGAAGGCAGGATCACTGGTGGAAAATGAACAAAATGGAAAACCAAGGGGCATAGGGTTTTATATTCCAATTTCACAATCCATTTGCCTGCCTCAAATTTATCACCCATAAATTTGAAAAATTTGATTCACCTCCCTTACAAGTGTATTGCAATGTCATTGCTGTGTACATGCTATGTAGGATTAATAGCATGACATTCAAGAGGTTTTATGCTAGTCATACTGAATATAAACTTCTGAAAATGTGCAAACATAGGAAATATATGCTGAATATGAGAAAAAAAAGAAAAAAAATCCTTGTAATAAGAAGGTAAAGACTGGAGATATAGCTCAGTGATAGAGGCGTGAGGCCATGTGTTCAGTCCCCAGCACCACACACACATTAAAAAAAGATACTAACCTTTTTCCAAGGAGAAAAAAAAGAGATAGAGATAGAAAGTGATAAACAATGAGATAAAATTAGATAAATAAATATTGCACGTTTGAACTACTTTTTAGAAGCTGCAAAAGCAAATTATGGAGGCATGGACATCTACTACATTTTTTGAAGTCACAAAAATATAACAGACTTCTAATTTGGATAACATTTCTTCAACTAATTACATACAACTGTTGTTAAGATAATCAATTCTGATGTGCTCTTAATACTGAGAGAGTCTTTCTGGTAGCTATCACCTTTCAAGATCTCAAAGGACTCTCACATATGTTTAGTGATATGTAATAACCTTGAAGGAAGTTCTAGCAAATGACAGAACATCAATTCTAAATTCTCTTCCCCTTCTTTTTTTTTTTTCCTTCAATCTGGAACAAGGTATAAGTTCTTATAGATAGGAAGGCAAAAGTTACTAAAGGGCATTAGAAGGAAACCTAGTTCAAAATAAAAACCAAATATAAGTTTCTAGTTTATTTCTTGGACATGGAAGCCCAAGGATCTACAAATCCAATCATAAACCTAGTCATACTAGCAACAATCAACAAAATAGCTTTTAATGATGGGTTACCATTAGGTGGTTGATTACCTAATTCTGATTTAATGAGCCTGAACGTAATTTTCTCTATGACTCTTCATAGAACATGATACAAACTTCATTCCAATATTGGGACATGATGTGGCAGCTGGAGAGACTGCCTAAGGCTCCCTCTCATTTCCTTAATTCATTCATTTAATAGATTTTGAGTGTTTTATATTCACTAGAAACTACATCAAAGAACTCACAGTAAGATGGGAACCAGCTAAATAAAGAATCAAATTTGTGTGTTAAGCCTTAGCATGGAATAAATATTTGGCACAATGGTGAGTAGATCAAAAAGCTCTCGGAGGAAAAGGTAAGCTCAGCAGAAACTGTCCATATGGCAAAGGGAGAAGTCGTTTCCTGCAGAAAGAACAGCAGGGGAGAAAAGCAGGAGATATAAAAAATATGGTGAGTTTCAGAATTTAGATGTGGCTCCATATGGCTGGAGTATCAATCATGCATTGGAGAAGAGAAGAAGATGGCAAATGAAACAATCCAAAGTAGAAGAAAATGAAGATTCCATCATTTGGGCTTACTAGTCCACATTAAAATACAGTATTGGAGTGTTCATCACGGATATTGGTCTGCCAGAAAAATGTCACCTCCCAGGTAATAGATTTTGACCATGAGCAGTTGGTGTTGTACAAAGTGATCCAGAGGAAGGAGATATCCAGGTATGGATACAAGGTATGTTTCCAAAGTTTGGGAAAGACACAGGATCCACGAACTAAAATCTCACATGGATATTTGTAAATGACATAGCATAATTGACTCACTATGTAGCCACTTAAGGACTTTTTTTTTTTTTTTTTTGGTACTGGGGATTGAACTCAGGGGCACATGATCACTGAGCCACATCCTCAGTTCTTTTGCATATTTTGTTATTTTGTTTAGAGACAGGGTCTCACTGAGTTGCCTAGTGCCACACCATTGCTGAGGCTGGCTTTGAACTCTGGATTCTACTGTCTCAGCCTCCCCAGCCTCTGGGATTATAGGCCTGCACTACCATGACTAGCAAGGAAGTTTCTTGAGTGACTGAAAAAAACGACTCTAGAGGTTAAAGGAGACACAAATAGACATTTTATCCTTTGAGTGAACCAGGTGTCTCTTAAAATGTAAACTCAACTCAACTGGGTAACAACTCACATTTACTAACTGGCTTCATCTCAGACTTAGAACATTCTGCAAATGGATGGAGTGGAATATGGTCCCAATGTCCAATCTGGAGGGGTTTGGGAAATATCTATTATAAACTCCCATTTGAAAGATGGAAATCTGATTCAGAGATTTTGTGCCCAGAGTCACAGAAAATTTCTGGCGGATGAGAACAAATCGGGCAGAATACATTGTTTCCTGACATTAGTCAACCAACATGGTTGTAGCAGATTCCAAAATAATACAAAATATCAACTCCAGCTAACATGATAACTTTTGAATTGTGTTTGACATTCATACACACACACAAAAAAAAACCCAAGGCCAACATTTAGAGATACTTTCTTAAATAATTCTTCACTCTGACAGTGAAACTCCTAAGCCAGAGCTCAAATTTTAATACTGAATTAATATAAATAAGATGGATTCTTACCATGATCTTCAGAAGAAACTGGTGACCTAAAAGGAGAAAATGTGCACAATAAATATTTTGCATATAATAATGATTAACAATCATCACAAATGATTTCATAGAAATGATACTCCCCAAATCCAGTTAATCAGAAACTACAATAGAGTGCAAAGTTTAATTAAAGTACAAGTTGCATAATATATTGCAAATTAAAAACCCCTAAATCTTACCTGGATTGGTTGGACAGCAGGGGTTACTAAAATGTCAGTCTATGCATAATATCACTGTTCTTCAACAAACTTAAGACAGTCTGAGCTTATGACAGATAAAAACAAAATAGAAATATGGTGTTGGGTGAAGTTCTGTGATATCACCTAGTATTCAGAGCCAAGCCTCCAGAGAAAATGCTAGGAATGCAAGGGGCATTAGGTTATGTGTGTGTGTGTGTCTACTCAGTCAAAAATGAGAAAGAAGTAAAATAAATGACATGTGCCTTTACCATTACTATTTTTTCCACTCTTTCTGGAATTTTATGTTTGAGTGAGCTTGAAATAAGACTCTCTGTATGCTGGCTTTATTTCTCTAAGAATATGAGAAATGGTTGAGGCAAGAAGTCAACCACTAGAGTCTAACCAACTTTCATAAACTAATCACTTTCATGTACCATCTGTGGGTTCATCTCAAATTATGATAGTTAAATATCAAATGAAGCATTGTGTCAACCATAAAAGTCTTCCCCCCCCTCTGTTGACTCCTAATTGAGGTACTCTGTGCAACAGAGTCAGTTTTGTAGATTAACTCACCTCTATCTCCAAAGATTACAGTTTTAACTGCCAACTTTTTTTCTTTCTAGGGAAAATTAGTGACATGTAGCCCTATATTCAGAGTTGTTGGGATTTTGAAGGAAAACCCAAGAAACTATACACTTCCCTCATTCACGAGGAGTTCTCTGAGTGAATTCATACTACACTTTGCAACAGGAAGTTGACCAAAGATAGATTCAGGCAATTAAATCCTTCTATTACTATTTATTTATATTTAGGACATAATGATACATATTGGGGCAAGAATGATTCAGCATAGAGTGACACAGCTACATCAATATTTAACAGTTGCACAATTCACAATAGCTGAGCTAAAAAGTCAACATAGGTGCCCATCCACAAATGACTGGATAAACAAATTGTGGTAACTAGGTATGGTAGCAATCCTAGCGGTTTGGGAGGCTGAGGCAGGAGGATCATAAAGCTAGCCACAGCAACTTATGAGGCCCTAGGAAACTTAGTGAGACCCTGTCTTCAAAATAAAAAATTTAAAAAGGGCTGGCAATGTGGCTTAGTTATTAAATACCCCTGGGTTCAACAAATAAATATCTAAAAGAAAAAAATTGTGATATACACACACAATGTAATATTACTCAGCCATGAAGAAGAATGATTTTATGTTATTTTTTGGTAAATGGATGGATCTGGAGATTATTATGCTAAGTGAACTAAGCCAATTCCAAAAAACAAAGGGCAAATATTTTCTTTGAAATGTGGAAGCTGACCCAGGATAAATTGGGGAGGGGATAGATATTCAGTGGATTATAAAGGGTAATGAAGGGAAGGGATGGGGAATAGGAATAGGAAAGACATTGGAAAAAAATCTGACATAACTTTCCTATCTACATATATGAATATACCACAGTGAATCCCACCATCATGTACATCCACAAGACTGGGGCTCTAATTAGAATAAGATATACTTCATGCTTGTATAATCGTATCAAAATGGACTCTACTGCCATGTATAACTAAAATGAACCAATTAAAAAAAACAATTTTAAAAAAGAATGATTCAGCAGAATGATTTGGATTGTTGATACTGCTCTACTAATTAATAAATTGATTTCTATTAAGGGAGTAAATAGTTAAGTATAAAGATATGATAGTAGTGGAAAGAAAAACTTTGAACCTCCATTAGTAACAAAATGTCAAAAATTTCAACCTGATGCGTCTCTCCAAGCAGACTTTTGCATGTGAAAACTACAGAGGATCCCAAGGTTTGGTGGAAAGGAAATTGGCGTTTGGGACATGGACGTGGGAGTAGAGAGCAGGAGCTTGTCACAATCTCTAAGTGTGGCTGCCTGAGAAACAGCACACTACACTTTCCCTCTCTGCAGAGCTGGCTTACATGCCCCCACTGGGATTTCCCCGTTTGGTAGTATCACACACTGGTCTTCTCACTAGGTTGGGATCCTCATGCAAACTGGAACTGTATCTTATTTAGAATAAGTACGTCCTGGACTTCAGAAATGTTGAATTGATTTAATTTTGCTACTATCATGCTTATATTCAGACTCAGGAACATTCTGGATCTGGTCAAAAAATCATGATGTTACTTTCAAATGACCTTCAAGACAACTTGGCCTGATTTTTGAGTTCAACTGCGAGAAAACAGACCTTGGCAAAGAGCCTGAAGCTCCAGGTTGCTTATAATGTGGGTACTTTTAGAGTGAAAGGATGCAAAACACTCAACAACAGAGATACCCCTAAACTGTTTTAATGCTAAGAAAAATAGAGGGGTGGGAGGTATGGAATGGAAGGAGACATAGGTTTGGCAAGCAAATCCAGAGAAACATATTTGAAACAAAATGAGCCAATTGCTTAAACTGCATTAAGAAATAAAAAGAAGTTTTAAGTGCATAAAAAGGAGTTAGTAAGAGGGAATTATGTTTACTTCCAGTAAATATTAGAACTAAGCAAAAATATGTCTTGGATATTTCCCATTAATTTTTCACAGAGCTACAGGAACAAAGAAAAATCCATGGACAACTGAGTGTCTTGGGTACAGAGCTCATGAAGCAGGGCCTTTGCTGACCTTCTGTAAAAGCAAAGCACTAATATTATACTTGAAAAATTCCAGATGGCTCCATTAACGTCTCAAGGGGATGCATTCCACAGTATATGCAGGCAGTGGGGAAGAACTATCGATTTCAGAGTGTTTTGCAAGGATTAGTCATGTTGAGTTTCTGTGCTGAATGTCTCCCACACGCCTGGATTTGTGGAATTTTAAGACATATGGAGTACCTCAATCCTCACTCAGTATTTCACCTTTCACTGCAACAAGTCACTAAATTATACCACTGAGACATGCACATCATCCATTATTGCTAGAAATGGGCATAAAAAGTTTTACAGAACTTAACTCAAGAGAAAAGAAATATTCTGAAATCAGCAATAGAAGTGGTTATTTTTAAAACTGCGGTTGAACCTCAGGAACATATCATCTTCTTCAAGCTGACAACTGAGACATGCAGGAAAGCCCAGTGCTTATTCTTCCCACCATACCTGAAAGACATGTTTTGCTCTGTCCCAGACGTGGTTCACTTTTTCTCCATGTGATACATAACTTAGACACAGCATCTGACCTCACAATGTAAACCCTTACTAACATTCCCAGCGACAACATAATTTACCATTATCTTCACTACTTTCTTGTTCACAAGTCTGCTATTATAATCTCATAATGTTTATGCTTTGGATGTTTTATTTATTAATTTTAGAATTTTTGTACATTTTTATTTCATTCAAATTCAGCAAAGCAAAACAGAAAACAAAGCAAAAATTTTAGCCTCACACTTAAAATTCTTTCTATTTTATTAAGCCTAAATAGTTATTATTCATCTTTGAATCTTTCAATTCATGTTGATTCAATTTATTACTGGAGAACTCTTTATGTACATCTTTATGCTAACTGACGGAGATATGAAGAACAATTTCAAAGAACTCGTAATCTAGTGAAGAAGAAAAATACATAAGCACATGATCATGGTATAGTGAAAAATGTAATTATCAAACTAAATAAAGAGGTAGCATTTAAAAAGCAAGAACCATCTAAACTGGGCTTTGGGGAATAAATAAGAGCTTGTTAGATAAGAAAGGATTCCAGACAGAAGCAAAAGACATATAAGAAGGAGAACAGATATGAAATTTCATAGTATGTTATCAGATGAATAAGTAACTCAGTATTGCTAAACTGTAAAGGATTTGATAAGGGCTAGGATTAGGTAAGTAAGAGGCAGGGCCATTTCATATCAGGCCCCTAGGGCCATTTTGAGGTGCCCGCCATTTACCTTCTAAGTCAAACAGTGTAAGCAACACATTCTGGTTTGTATTTCTGAATGAGCAGGCTGTGGAGAGTAGTCCATAAAAGAGCAAGAAGACAAATTAAAAGGCAGAAGACAAATTAAAGACCATCATAGCAAAACATCCAAGATAATGAGGCACAATAAAAATCTGTTCTTCAATTCTCTTTGAAACATACAAAAAATAATAGGGAGGAAAAAGACCACCTTGGACTAAACTAGATGTTTATAAACGTAGCCCATCATATGTTAGGAAGATCTATCAAGTATAGAGAAAATGGCACCAAGTTTCAGGGGAAACAAAGAGTTTCAATCTCAGTTGAAGAGACACATGCTAATCACGAATCACAAAACCTATGGTAGAAAGCCCCACTGTGAGCCAGGATGTCCTGTTGGTCAGAAGCTGGACCACACCCTTAAAGAGACTGCAGATGACTGACCTGAAGTCAAAATTTCAGCAACCTGCTAATCCTAATATTCATGCAAGCCAGAAGTTCCAGAAAGAACTCACCCAATGCAAATTTTATGAATAATCCAAAAAGAACTATTGTGATATCTTGAAAAAAATACCACAAGAAGAAAACCAAGTGTAGGCAGAACACACTCAAAAGATGTCAGTATGGAGAAGGTAAAAAGGTAAGAACTGCCAATAAATGTCCATGAAACCTAGAAATGGAAAATGGGGATACAGGGTGAGGTGGTGACCACCTCTAATCCCAGAGACTTGGGAAGCTGAAGCAGAAGGATCACAAGTTCAAGGCCAGCCTGGGAAACTCAGTGAGACCCTGCATCAAAATAACAAAACAGAACAACAACAGCAAAATAAAACTGAAAAAGAGATGGGGTTGTAGCTCAGTGGTAGAAGGTTTTCTTGGTGTGTGCAAACCCTGGATTCCATTCCTAAATCCTTAGGGGGCA